GTGTGTGAGTGAGAGAGAGTGCGTGTGTGCATGTACTTGAATGAAATATCCACTGTTGTATGTGCGTGCACTCCTCGTGTGCCTGGTCGCTGCACCCAACTGAGGGTGTAATTTCCTGCCAGGGACTCTTAGTAGAAATTTTCATGTAGGACTGCAGCTAATAATTCTAGTAGCATCGAACAAGCCAGAATATCTCAATCAGCTATTCTCTATCAGTTGAAATGCAGAAATGAAATCTAGACTTATAGCTAGTGTCTGCAAAATTCTGTAATCACAGACGTGTTTCCCATCATGCATATGTGCCTGTGTGTGCGCGTGTATGTGCTGAAGTCATCCAAATATTTTCAACAACCAGCAACAAACCTGTGCCAACATACCCCTGACTGGAGATAGCATGTGACTGTCCTTATGCTAGTGTTCAAAGCCATAGTCAGTCGCTAAGCCTCACATCTACTGTTTTGTATCCAATAATCCTGTCGGTCTCCATCAGCTGCAAACACAACTGATTCACAGATTGAGAAGTTGTCTTTGTTGTAAATACAAGAGGCTGTTTTTTAAGATTGTGAAGACATATGTATTTCGTCTTAATCTTCAAATCATCCCTCCAGCTCTGTGTCTGTGTCACTGCATCAATGCACAAAATCAAATCAATGTTTTCTATAAGGACATTATGACTACTATGACGTAATTTCAGATACAGTATACATATATACGTCAAATTATTGGATGCTATATGTTCCCGATAAAAAATTGAACAGCATTTGAATAAAGAGATTATTACTGATTCCTCATACTCTAGTGGCAATACTAAACCAAGTACTTATATCTTTCATGCTGTATCTTCCTTGGACTTTATTATCCTGCAGTCACTGCAAGGTACTTTTAGAGTGTCCACATATTATCTTTAAAATTTCCAACCTTCTCTTTTTCCAAACCTGTAATAGCAACAAATTTTGTGAAGTTATGTAATAATAATAATAACGTAAGTTCAACATGAACATATGATATTTTAAAGAACAAAATGAAGAACAACAATTTTTTTGAAGAATCAAATCCCCAAGATCTTATTTAAAATTGACTGATGGCATCTCACAATGTGATTTTCAATGAATAATGTCATATTTCCAAAGCCTGAAGTCATTAATCTTTTGCTACAACCCCTCTAACTGAAGTGGAAACACATCTCGCTCAAGCTCGTTGCACTACAATTATCCCTTTCAGCACCAGTCACTTGTGCATAAAGTGCATGCCTGGATTGCCACTGACTGTCATATTCTGTCTTAAATAGAAGTCATAGACCACACAGTCGGCCATATTGAGCACCTGTAAAGCATAACGCACGACCAAAGGTAGAAATTGATTTCTTATCGCCTCACTTGTTCCAATACAGCTTAGTGTATGCAGAAAATAAAAGTCTTTCCTGATTCACTGCTGAGGCAGAAGGGAATGACTCATTCCAGATGCACTGGAGTCAGACCTCAGCCCAGGTGGCTCACGTCACCTTGGATTGAGCATCACTGGAATTGTGAGTGCAATATAAATGCCTTATTGTCTGAGCAATAATCTGTGACCACTGAACATCTATGTTAGTGCTCGAGAAAAAATAAATAAAAGTGAGTTACATAAAAAGGTGTTACTCACATCACTCCCAAACAATCTTGCACTCTTTCCCTTGTATGAAACACACTGTTCAGTGTTGCACACTATAGTAAGCACTCAATGACGGTGGGTCACTGACACATATCAATATACCTCAGTACAGCCTGTTTCCGATGCATAATTGACACACAACCCAAAGACGGTTTTCAGCATCGTTCCTCGAGTTACTTAATTGCACGAAAAATAGTGAAGCTGCACAGGACTGTGGGCAAACAGCCTAATGTACCTAAGAGATTAGACAGCCATGAGCTCAACAGTCACAAGCACGGACAAACTTGCGCACATCGAAGCCCATCCCCCTCCTTGTCCAACTCTCCACTCAGTTACACAACATGCACACGGATTATTCTTCATAGCATGAGATGAGCTGCTCAATGAGTGGTCTTTTTTCATGGATGCCCCCTCAGTGCAATGAAGCACACACGGGAAAGAGATACCGACCAAGAGAAGTACCTGTTTTTGAAACATAAACAATTACTCTGCGGGTAAAAGACACTTCTTGTCTGATACAAACCCAAATGCAGACACCAGTAACGAATGCCACTGAAAGGCAAAGGTGAGGAGATGTGATCTCTTAAGACGTTTTCAAATGACTCTGGTAATTGTAATGTATCTACTACGGTAAGTGTGAGGATCCACAATGAACCCAACTCTTTTCTGTGTGGATTGGCTAGTGTTGGAGACACTGGAGTATAATCTGCTGGCATTAACTTGCTCTCTAAAAAAAGCACTCTCGACAGGGATTAGATTATCATGGCAAGGTCAGCTCAGACTCGTGCTGACAGTCTCTCTTTATGTCTGTCTTTATGTCTCTCGATCACGCTGCTTTCTGTCTTTTAATTTATCAGTCTTCCTAGCGGCGTCTTTTCTCTCGAGTATCTTTCGACAGGTGAACATTTCAACACTGTCTTTGATTTTACTAGATCACACTGCCGATGCAATCAACAGAAACCATCAAAAGATTAACACAGATTAAATTTACCACATGTTATAGTACACTTAGCAATAAGCAATGTTCATGTCACTCTAGCTACTTTGCCATTTTTTGAAAATGGTGTTTGAAAAGTATTCCTATTATAGAAGAGTATTTCTAAAACAGGAATAATTTTCAAACAAAAAAAAAAAGTAAAACTTAATTTGTGTACAAAAAATATATTGTGTTTGTTCAATCAGCGTAGGAAACAATCTCACTAGGGCTGCAATTTATGATTTTCAGTATGAACATTTTTGTTTCTAGCTTAATCATTAACTAATAAGGTATATTAAATTTAGGAATTTTTAATTAATACTCAAATAAACAAAAATACACAGTTTACTGCAACAAAAAAGAAGTAGTAGTCTTACAACTGAGAAGCTGGAAATTGGGAATGCTTTGCTTTGGAAAATTGCTTCAATAATTAGCGGATTATACAAATAGTAGCTTGAATGTTTCTCAGTAGAGCTTAAACCTTTGTCAAGGTCAACAGTCCCCCCTACATTCAATCAAGCTGCACCAACTTTTACACAAACACATAGATATCAGTTCCCTTAATATGTGACTCTCCTTTTATCTTGATTACAGTTGTGATACAGTTAACTGACTGTGGTTTCAACACATTATTATCTTACGTGTTGGAGGCAAACATAAAATGGCATTACATCCCCCCTAAGTGTTAATGCCACAGACTCGAGTGTTGTGTTTTAAGACTGAGTTTTTTAAAATACAATTTCAATAAACCTACAGCAAAAGCTTACAACGACAAGTGCTTCTCAGAGGTTTTTAGCCTGACTTTGCCTATAGGTTTGTTATCTTCATGATATATAATGTGGATATTTATCAGTGTATAAGATCAATATTGCCATTCTCCTTCCCATACTGTGCTATGATTAAGGTAAGGATTGAGAAGGGGTAAGGCGATACCTGCTTAGCGATTTTACCCTGGAGCAAAAGAATGACAGCTGGCAGCAGGGTCTGGATTAGGTTTCCTTAGGGGTATTGCATCTTTTACACCACCGCTTCTTTGGAGTAGAATGGGCCGATAGTAACCCGACTCCCTCCAACCCATCCAATCTCGTCTCCCTCTGCCTCAATGGGGCCAAACAGAAGGGATCTGTGAACGCCTTACTCATCCCTCCCATCTTCCATCTGGACATTTTGTCAGTGTTTGCACTCCAGTTCCTCCACTGGAGACTTAAAGGGCAAGTTCTCTCTATTTTTTCCTCATTCATCACAAACTGGGAATCGTCTCAGTCCATTCAATACTGACTCACACTAAAATTTTTGTTTTGGTGGTCCAAGTGTTATCTAAGAAAAGTCCTGAATAGTGAGGATGTTGTACTTCGTTATAGCAATATTTTAATTTAGATGTTTAAGAATAAATACTATTTGCAATAGCAGGGACATTGACATAGTTACTATCATGAATTTGATAGTAACTACTATTAGATGTGCACTGATTAATTCAACTTTTTCATGAATGAAATCTAGGGCTACAACTATTTACTAGTTTCAAAACTATTACCTGCTAACCATAACCAATTTCCTGATTAATCGGTCTATGAAATACGAAAAAAAGTAAAGTGAGAAATACCTTTCACGATTTCCAAAAGCTCAAGTTAACATCCAGTTTTGGATTTTTCCAAAACATTTTGATTTGCTTACTAGCAAATTATCTATTTTTTGGCTTTCTATAACATGGTACAGCAACTGTATTAATCTTTTAGTTGCCATTTTAAAAGATGAATGTCATAAGAGCTTTTATTCCCATCTGTTCACACATGCAGTCGCTATGTAAACAGATCCACATTTTGGGCCTGAAGATGCAGATACCACGACCCACACAGAGAGAGACAACGTGGGAGCGACAGCTAGCATATGTTAAGTGGAGTCTGGATCCAGTATGGTCCATCTGCATGCTCTGCTGTGAGGTAATAACATCAAAAGAGAGGATGCACACTCAGCAGAATGTGCACCTGTATATGTGCACACTATTTCAGAAGCATATTTTCTACTTAAATATAGTGCAGATAAGTTAATTAACTGTCATACACAGAAGATCAGAAGATTTATTTAGTTGAATTCTGGAGCCATGTAAAACATATCCGTGAGATTATTGTGCTGAGTTTTGCCTTTAGATGCATCCTCAGTAACAACAAGGTATTTAACAATTAAGTTTTTCATAATTACAAACAAGATCAATGGATGTTTAAACAGTGTGTGTGTGTGT